ATGGGCTTTCAGGGAGTACGCCATGTCTAGCACCTATTCGAGGCATTGGGAATCTTGGTTTCCCTTGTTCTCTTCATACGAAATGAAGGGTAATTATTGCAATGAGATAACATCATGAGTGCAACTTTATGTGGGTTGATGTGTATGGTAACTGAGCACATTCCCATGCATGTTGATAACATAGAGCTGAAAAACCTGNTACGAAATGAAGGGTAATTATTGCAATGAGATAACATCATGAGTGCAACTTTATGTGGGTTGATGTGTATGGTAACTGAGCACATTCCCATGCATGTTGATAACATAGAGCTGAAAAACCTGTGTCCATGTTTTATTATCATACTTCACCAATTTATCTAGACAAGATCAGGAATAATATTTTGCTTAGAGCTAAGTAAAAAGAGCTTTTCAAAGTTATTGTGGAATTTGCAGAATGGCAGGATCTTAACAGGAAAGGTCCTATGGTGTTGCAGAAAATATAAATGTAATATTGAAATGGAAATTATTGTTCTCTGTTATTTTGGATTTTGTTAGTATAAATGATCTTATGTTTTTCTTAGCTATTATCTTGAAAAATCACAATGAACAAAACATTCTTTAGGTATGTGGGTTAGGTACCATAGCATCCCTTTTAAAAAGTTCTTCTGGAAGACCACATTTAGTATGTAGTAAATGATCAATATATGTTTCTTGGGTCAGTGATTTCCCGTGGGGAGAATGAATATAAGTGAATATAGGCATGTTAGAGTAAACCCCATTCTGATGGTGGTTACATGGATCAGAATCTAGGTTACTAATTTTGAATTGCCATAGCCTGCAATACTCTGCCTCCTTCCCTGATGTCACCTCTGACCACCCTTCTGCCATTCACTCTGTTTATCCACACTGACTTCTGTGGGACTCAGCCACCTTCCAACTCTTCTGCCCAGACCACCCTCCTCTTCCCCATTCCTTGGGTTGGACCTTTCCACCTCCTTCAGATCTCTGTTCACATGTCCTCTCCCCAGGCCTTTCCCGAACACCCACCTTCCCTATAACATCCCTGTGTTTGTGTTTTCTCTTCAGAGCACTCATTTCTCTTGGAATGAATCTTGTTTTTCTTCTTGCTTGTCTCTCCCCTCACCAAGGAAGCTCTGTAACAGCAGAAAATTCACTGTATTGTGGATTTTTGTTTTGTTTTGAAATGTGTCTCTATGCTGTATTCTAACTTATAATAAAAGGACAAAAAATTTAGATGAATGATTTAAAAAGTATGGCGGCGGGTCATGGATTTGCAATTTCTTTCAAATTATTTTTACTTTTGCCCTTGAGCTCATCTCATAATTGAATTCAAAGCATTAAGTCACTTTAATCTATTGATGTGACTTATTCTGACCCTTGTGGATGGCACAGTGATGTTTCAGCAAAAATTATTTCAGATTGTAAAATTTGAAATGTTAATGTGTGTTTATTTTTCTTCCAATGAAAAAGTTATAATTAGGTATTATTTCAGGACTTCTTTCATTGAGAAGCTTTTAAAAATGTACTTAAGTGTTGAAAATTAGCTTTGCAGCAGGGTTATCATCCACAATTTTTTTCTGATACATATCAAGTATTTAAGATTATTTTAGATTTTGAGGGCAGATCTTCAGGTTGCATCAATAAGAAAATGGACCAGTAAAGCCCAATGAGAAAGGTGCAGAGAAACACTGCCACCTTCATTCTATGAATAAAAGTCATGACAGCTTTCTGAGAAAGGACTTGAAGGGAGAAGATGGGGTGGACATCTTAGAAGCTAGGTTGGATGACGTTGAGAGGGGGTGGAGTGTCAGAGTGGCTGAATTTCCTTAGGGTTTAGGGACATCTTGCAGGCCTTCGAGGTTATCAGGTGCCTGGTGTACCATGTGGTCCTCCATGCATAATAAATGTAATAACCAATGACTGTTTCTCCCTTTGCCACAGTTGCCCTTGTGGAAGGTAAGTGACTGACCTATATCTTAATGGGAGAAAGACAAAGGTCTTATTGATGAGGGAAAAAAAAAATACAATCTTGCCTTTCCATTGTTAACATTCAGAACAAGTGTGTCCCAAGGATCACTTCCTCTTCTGCTGTGCCTGGTTCTTTAAAAAAGTTAATTACAAGGGAACAGAGAGTTCTATTAGAACTCGCTGGCAATGCAAAATATTCCTGTAGATATGCCATCTTATTCTTTTAGCACATGATAGTTTTAAGCAGAGGATCTATTTGGAAACTTATTGGAGTTAAGTACAAGATTTTAAAAGTTTCATCAGGTTCCTAGATCTCTGTAGACACAGTAAATCAATAGAATTATAAAATTATACAATCCATAAAGAGTCCTTTCAGTTCAGTTCATTTCAGTCACTCAGTCATGTCCGACTTTTTGCAACCCCATGGACTGCAGCATGCCAGGCTTCCCTGTCCATCACCAGATCCTGGAGCTTGCTCAAATTAATGTCCATTGAGTCGGTGACGCCATCCAACCATCTCATCCTCTGTCATCTCCTTCTCCTCCTGCCTTCAATCTTTCCCAGCACCAGGGTCTTTTCCAATGAGTCAGTTCTTCACATCAGGTGGCCAAAGTATTGGAGTTTCAGCTTCAGGATCAGTCCTTCCAAGGAATATTCAGGACTGATTTCCTTTAGGATTGACTGGTTGGATCTCCTTGGAGTCCAAGGGGCTCTCAAGAGTCTTCTCCAACACCACAGTTCAAAAGCATCAAAGAGTCCTTTAGGTGCAACCTATCTTTCAGGACAACTGTGTAAAAGGAAGGATAACAGAGAAGCACATTGGAGAGAGCATTTTAGCAGGATAGTTTTTTCTTTTGAGCAAAGTATGTTTATTGAAATATATTTTCTAGAAAATATTACAGGTTCTGTAATTGGAAACTTAGGCAGTATTCTGGAAGGCAGGTTTTTCATTGTAACAGGATTATAGCAAAGACACTTAGCACTGAAAATTTAACCTTTTTTTTTTATTTTTGAGTAACTAATAATTGTCAAAGATTATAATTGTACAATATTAAGAAGTATAGAACAAAACATAATTAGTTTAGCTTTTCTGTACGTGTGAACCTCAGTTAGTTCTGTCATAGGAGGTATCAGCCTCTGTGTGAAAACTCTTCTTCTCAGAGTAAAAATACATTTTTTGAGTAGTGCTTAAATCTTGTTTTGGGGGCATACACTCTGGTAGCATGAGAAGAGGGGTTCAGTGCTGAATTAACTGGAGTTAGTGTTAATGCTGAAATAAGCCTGAGGAGAACGCTGTTGGAAGTTTAAAGAATATGAAGTTAACAATTTGTTTTTTACTTTTTCTGCCTGTAGATTTTTGTTTTTATTTGTGTTTTGTTTTTCTTTTAGTCTGAGCACATACTGCTTATTTAATTATTCAACAATTATTATTATCATTATCATAATACTTCCATCTCAGAGGCCTGTGTGACCTAGATAAGCATTTGGCTTTTTTTTTTTTCCCCAGGTCCTTCAGGTCTCTTTTTTTATATGTCACCTTTATGATGATCAGTGCACGTGAATATGTGTTCGTCTTCAAGGGGTAATACAGCCCCTTTTCCAAGAAGATAGGCTACCTATGGTTTTTGTGCCTAGGGCCTTGACTTGCTCACCATCCAAGCCACAGCTAATCAAAATAAGGGTAGTTTCCTAAATAAAAAACTGACTACTCTAAGCTAGGTAGAAACCCAAGAGGGTACCTGGTATAAGAACACTAGGAGGTCTATTTGACTGCTAGGAGATTATCCTTAGATTTCTTATTATCCCAGGTATCCTTGCAGAAAGTCTCTTCATGTGGGGTAACCAAAACAAGTCTTTAGTCTTTATAAGGAGAAAAGGCCTCTCACATGTTTTATAGTGTAAAATCCTTCAGAAGTTCAGAGGGGTCAGAGTTTAAGGAAGGTGAAGGCTGGATACTTCACAGAGAATTGACACATGAGCTGCCACTGAACAAAAGAATACAGTTTAGTCTATAGATGATTTGGAAATCAGAGTTCATTGTAATCATAAAGCCTAAGAACTACTGGGTTGGCCAAAAAGTTTGTTCAGCTCTTTAGTAAGATCACATGGAAAAAACTGAGTCAACTTTTTGGCCAACCCAATACAAGTGTACAAAGAAACCATTTATAAATTTCACTTCACTTGGTGTTAATTATATTTTATATACTTAATATATACTTTATATATACTTTAAGTATATATATAATGTTAAGTATACTTTATATACTTAATAGGCTTTATTCCATTTAAATGATATTTCAAAAATTATTTTTATATTCTTGAGTTATTTATCATCATTAAAAAATCCTATGTGTAGCTTTAACTAGAAATAATACACAAGAGCATTTCTCAGCCCATGGTCCAAGAATTTTCAGTGATATGTAAAGGTGTTTCAAGTGGCATTAAATGTGGTAATGGAGTTTGTTTCTATTTCCATTTTTTAAAATTCTATAAGAGTAAAGGAAAAACAACAAAGGGAACCAGAAGAAAAATACGAAAGTCAAAGTTTGCAATTCAGAGTATATGCCCTCCTGACTTTCAATTTGAGTTTCATTCTGGAAATGACTGCTTTTTTTCTCTCTATCATGTCTTAATACAAAAAACATGTGATGGCAGGAGTGTGGGACAGGAGAGACCTGCCTAGTTTACCCTTTCAACGAATATGTGACTCTTCTCATTGTGGTTTTTATGGTGGTCTCTCTACCTGGGATTTCTTCATCTTTCTCCTTTTCCACGTGGTAAAGTTATCCTGTGAATTGCAGCTCAAATATTATCTCCTTTTTGAAATGTGTGCTTACTCATTTTTTATCTGTGTGTGTGCTTACTCAGCCACGTCTGTCTCTTTGTGACCCCACGAACTGTAGCCCGCCAAGCTCCTTTGTCCATGGGGTTTCCCAGGCAAGAATGCTGGAGTGGGTTGTCATTCCCTTCTCCAGGGGATCTGATCGAACCCGGGTTTCCTACATTGCAGGCAGATTCTTTACCATCTGAGCCACCAGGGGAGCAAGTTACTCTTTTCAGGGTACCCACTCTAGGAAAAAAATTAAAGAATATATAATTAATAAGCTAAAAGAAAAATAGAATATAAAATTGTTTAATAATCCAAAAAGACAACAGGGGAAGAAAAAACATAAATCAAGTAGGACAGATAGAAAACAAACAGTGAGGTGGTAGATATAAACCCAAAGGTGTTGATAACTATATGAAATGTTAATAGAAATAGCCATTCTTTTTTCTATGAAAATTTAGTATCTCATATCTTTAAGAGTTCATGAAATTCTCATTTTCAAGTTATTTAACAGTGTTTCTCTTTTTCCCCATAGACTGCCCTTCATCCACCTGGGTTCAGTTCCAAGACAGTTGTTACATTTTTCTTCAAGAAGCCATCAAAGTTGAAAGCATAGAGGATGTCAGAAATCAGTGTACTAATCATGGTAAGGAGTTTATTCTATTTTGTTTTTTCACAGATCAGTAAAGAATGTTCACTAATTTCTTTAAAAAATGGTTTGTTGTGTCTTACTTTTTACCTTTGGTCCTTGTAACAACTTTTATTCTATAATATGCAAGACATGCAGTGGAATTGGGGTAAACTCTTGAGTTGGAAGTCAGCTGTTGGACAACAGTGCTCAAAGCAGAGTAACAAGAGCAGTGTGTATTTGTTGTAAGTACTCTGTGTTAGGCACTGTTCTTAAGCACTTAATACACTTTTACTGGCTTTTATTATTGCAGCAAACCTATCATGAAGTTTATTATTTGCCTTCTTTTATCAAGAGAATAAAACTACTTCAATTATTTATTCAAGGTTGAATAGGAAATAATTGGCAGAGCCAAGATTCATACCAGGAACAGTGTTCTGATTTTAGGAACAGTGTTCTTAATCACTCTGTCTTTCTGCCCTGAAGGTACTGTTTCAGGCATGCAGTGTGGGCAGAAGTCAGATCACATGGTATTGTGACATGTGGTATGGAAGAATCGTTGTTCAGTCACTAAGTCATGTCCCACTCTTGTAACCCCATTTCATTCTCCAGGAGCTCTTCCTGATCCAGGGATAGAACCCGAGTCTCCTTCATTGGCAGGGGGATTCTGTGTACTGTTAAATAAAAATGAGAAAAGGGCTATTTGCTACATGATTTGCTCAGTATTCTCTGGGAAATTTCACATTGTGAAATATTTTAAATAAAAATGTCATTTCTTAAAAAGCTGTGCTTGAGTGTTCTTTATATATTTGGCTGTTTGGCCCAAAGTGCATCCTTGTTGAGCCTCTAATTGTGATACTTGTCAGCTCAAACTAAAATTGTAGTGTCAACTAACATCTTTTTCAACTGAGATACCTATGATGGTGATATGAGAGTCCTTGATTATTTAAAAGTGCTTTTTATTATTGTGTGAGATCTAAAAATTTCTTGATTATTTCACTAAATTTTCTCTTAAGCATATTCATAACACCAGCATTTAAAGTACCTTTTACCAGGAGTTCCCCAGCAGTCCAGTGGTTAAGACTCTCTGCTCCCAATGCAGGAGATAGAGGTTCAATCTCTGGTCAGGGAACTAAGATCCCACATGCTGCAGGCCATGGCCAAAAAAAAAAAAAGAAAAATTAAAATACCCTTTACCTAAAAAACACAATTCTGACAACCCACCAATATAACATTTTGGAACAATATCAAATTGCTTTAGGGTGCTTTAATTAAAGTCATATTCTCTTATTATAGAAGGAATAAATGTAAGCATAGGAGTTTTAAGTCCTAAGACGTGCCAATACTACTCAATACATATTTATTGTTTTTCTTAGGAATAAATGTAGGCATAACAGTTTTAAATCCTATGAAGTGCCATGGAACTCTCAATACATATTTATCATTTTTCTTACTTGCTAAGTGGTGTTGAACATTGGCTCTTTGAAGACAAAACATTTCCAACATTCCAGTATGGTTTCATTCCAAGGAAATGGAATAATGGGAATTTTGCTGGTCTTACAAGATTTTTTAAGTGGTGTTTTCTCCCACAACTACTTTCTGTCTCTTTTTAAAAAGCCATATTGTGTATACTTAGACAAAAACACAGATTTCAAGAAACAGATTATATTGGAGGTTCAGAGCCAAGACAAGATGTGTTCTCTACTCCTGTTTGTATGAACCGCATCATTAGATTTCATTGCCAGCTCTGACACTTAGGTTCAGCAGTTAGGCAGCCACACTCACTACAGAGGCATAGCTTTTACTTGTTGACTGACTTCCTCTGCAGACAACGAAATGTAGTTAATTGTATGTGCAGTTTTTCTTTAGTAAATGAACCAAAACGAAATTGAAAACACCCAGCAACTTGGAGGCCTGATATTTGATTACTTATTTTGAAGTCCATTAACTCTATTTGTTCAAAGCAAAGTAGCCATTTAGGGATTTTAAATTCTTGGATACAAATTTGCTTATAAAGTTGATTTTATGTCTAAATAAAAATGTCTTTATCCCAGTTAAAAATTTATAAATTCAGTTTGTCTTACTGATGTGAATTTTTAAATTTCTTATACATTTTTCATAATGTCATCATTTATTTGATAAATCCTCTATATTTGCTTCCACTATGGAAATACCCATTTTATTGATAAATCAGAAAATTAACTAAAATTAATATTACCATTACATTTTTGCCAAGGGTAGTGTTTAGAACAGTAGGTGGTTTGTACAGTAGGTAAACATGAATTCAGTGTTTGCTATATATGAAGAAGGAAAAGCATAAAGAATAAAAGGATATTTACATTTGGATTTATAAAGTCTTCACACATTGTAGGACTATACCAAGTCCTATCTTAAACCTATATTTAGGGGTATAGAAAATAAGTGACTTATTTTTTGGACTGCCGAGAGCTATATTTAGAAATATTCCCAGTGCTCTGTGCTAATTTATTTGAGGTTACTTTTATTATACTTACTTGGGGTACTGTTATCATTCATATAGGAAAATAACTGTGAGAGCCTAAAATTTTTCTTATTTTGCAACATTTACTCTTTTTTACATTTACCTTTGATTTAGCTATTTTCTTTATAATAGAACCAATAAGTATTTTCAGTCTTTCCTTTTTGTGATTTGTGTATAAGCTATGTTACTAGCCATTAAAAGAATGAAAGACCCAAATTACATCTCAGTAGGTAGCATTACTGGTTATGCATTTAAAAAAAATTATTTTTTTGCTTGAGTACATGCATTCTTCAGGGACTTATGCTGTCATTCGTTAAAGAAAATGAGTGTGTCTTTTTTGCCTGACATAGTAATTTAAATTTGTGCAGTATTTACTTAAATTACACTGTTAAAAATCATTCACGTTTCATTGGCTGACACAAGGTCAGAGAAAAGAATGAAAATCTCATCTCTGAACACTTAAGCCTAAACTATAACCTAGTTAAATATTTCTCTTGAGAATTTTTTCTAAAATGGCACTTTGGTTACATTTCCTAAATTAGTACAAGTAAATTTGGTACTAGTAGGGTAAAACAAATTAAAAGTATATGTGACATTTAACAAACAGGAGGTGATAACAGCTAGAATTGATTAAAAAAAAAATCCTAGAATTTTTAACAATGAGGCTGTGACTTAGAAAGAAAACATTGCTAAATTCTAGCTTTGGACTAAAGTATTGAGTATTTTAAAGATCAGTCTTATTTTTTCTTTTTTTTTTTTTTAACTTCTTTCTTAATTCCACAAATGCACAGTCATTATATAGAAAAATATATGCAAATATTTTAAAAATAAAAGAAAATTACCCTAAATTGTACCATCCTGACTGAACACACACAAGGAAATGTAATGACTGTTAACATTTTGCTAAGTATCCTTTTAGACTTCCAAACCCCTAGGCAGATATATTTTAGTAAATGTTTGATACATACATATTTCTATGTGCTAACTCACTTCAGTCATGTCCAGCTCTTTGTGACTGTATGGACTGTAGCCTGCTAGGCTTCTCTGTCCATGGGATTCTCTAGGCTGAAATGGGTTACCATTTTCTACTCGAGGTCATTTTCCTGACCCAGGGATCAAACCTGCATCTCTTACATCTCTTGCATTGGCAGGCAAATTCTTTACCACTGGCACCACCTGGGAAGCCCATGTTGCGACCCCATGGACTACAGCATGCCAGGCTTCCCTGTCCTTCACTATCTCCCAGAGCTTGCTCAAACTCATGTCCATTGAGTTGGTGATGCCACCCAACCATCTCATCCTCTATCGCCTCCTTCTCCTCCTGCCTTCAATCTTTGCCAGCATCAAGGTCTTTTCCAATGAGTCAGCTTTTTATATTAGGTGTCCAGAATATTGGAGCTTCAGCATCAGTCCTTCCAATGAATATTCAGGGTTGATTTCCTTTAGGATAGACTGATTTGATCTCCTTGCTGTTCATGGGACTCTCAAGAGTCTTCTCTGGCACTATACTTTGAAAGCATCAGTTCTTTGATGCTCAGCCTTCTTTATGGTCCCATTCTCACATCATACATGACTACTATAATATACATTACCTATGTGTGTATGTATATATGTACATATGTGTGTGTATATATATATATAGGGATTAAGCAAACTTCCATAATCTGTATTTCCCTTAAAAATATCTTTCCATAGCTGTAAATACAGAATGTATATTTCCTAATAACTGCATGATACTTCTCTATATGGATATGCCATAGTTTTTCAGTTGCTCAGTCATGTCCAACCCTTTGTGACCCCACAGACTGCAGCACACCAGACGTCCCTGTCCTTCACCATCTCCTGGAGCTTACTAAAACTCACGTCCATTGAGTCAGTGATGCCATCCAATCATCTCATCCTCTGGTGTTCCCTTCTCCTGCTTTCAGTCTTTCCCAGAATCACAGTCTTTTCCAGCGAGTCAGCTCTTCACATCAGGTGGCCTAAGTGTTGGAGCTTCAGCTTCAGCATCAGTCCTTCTAATGAACATTCAGGATTGATTTCCTTTAGGATTGACTGGTTTGATTTCCTTGCTGTCCAAGGGTCTCTCAAGAGTCTTCTCTAACACCACAGTTCCAAAGCATCAATTCTTCAGATATGCCATAATTGATTTAATTCTCTAATATTGGTTATTAAATTATTTCTAATCTTCTAGTGTCATAAATGTGATGAACATTAATGACTGTACCTATTTGAGCAGAACCAGTGATTGTCTTAGCATAAATTGTTCAGAATTCCTGGATCAAAGATGTATACTTTTATGGAGGCCTCTCCATACATCTTGCAAAATTGTATCCAAAAAGGTTTTTAACTAATTTTTCTCCAACTAGCCACTTATGAGTTCCTATTTTTCTCCACTCTAAATCAGCACTGTTTAATCTATACTTCTGAAACTGCTTATTTTTCTTTTCACTCCTTTACTAGTGAAACTGCATATTAACACATTTATTGTGGTATATTTCCCTTTGTGAGGATGAATTGTTTTTTTTTTTATTGAAGTACAGTCAATGTACAATATTAAGCAAGTTTTTATTCCATTTTTAGTTACTATAAAATATTAGCTATATCCAGTGTTGTACATTATGTCCTTGTAGCTTATTTTATGCATAATGGTACCTTCTAATCCCTACCCCTATACTGCCCGTGACCTTTTCCCTCTCTCTGTCAACCACTAGTTTTGTTCTCTATATTTGTGTCTGTTGACTTTTAAACAGTCTGAGACAATGTTTTTCCCCCTTTTTATTCATAATAGAGCTAGTCTGCCTAGTTTGTAATTTTCTTCTTTAACATAATATGGTATGTTTGGGGAGAGAATTTAAGTCCTATGATTTTCTTTTTCTTATCAGTTTCCATTAAAAGATGTAAAAGTAATCATCTGATACAAATTTTTCTTACCACGTCATGAGCTAAAAGCACTTTCTTATCTCAAGTTATCTGTTCGTTACCAAAAAATTATGGATTTTTACAGTCTTCATAAATAGCCTAGTAAGTTTCCTATAATTCTCAGTGGCAGCATCAGTGTCACCTGGGAACTGGTTCAGAATGTAAATTCTCAGGTTCCATATTATTCCAACTAGATCAGAAACTCTAGTGTAGGACCTAACACTTTTAACAAACCCTCTGTAGGTGATTCTGAAAATGAAAGTGTTAGTTGTTCAGTCATGTCTGACTCTTTGCCACACCATGGACTGCAGCCCGCCCTGCTCCTCTGTCCATGGAATTCTCCAAGTAAGAATACTGGAGTGGGTTGCCATTCCCTTCTCCAGGGGATCTTCCTGACCCAAGGATCAAACCTATGTCTCTTGCCTTGCACACAGATTCTTTACCATCTGAGCCGCCAGGGAAGCCCCCTAGGTGATTCTGGTGCACACAATAGTTGTGGTTCTCTGATAGTTTAGTTGATAAAGACTGTAGCTCAAACAGTAAAGAATCTGCCTGCGAGGCAGGAGACCTGGGTTCGATCCCTGGATTGGGAAGTTCCTCTGGAGAAGGGAATGGCAATCCACTCCAGTATTCTTGCCTGGAGAACTCTATGGACAGAGAAGCCTTGGACGTTGATAAAGAACCTGCCTGCAATGTGGGAGACCCCAGTTCTATCCCGGGGTTGGGAAGATCCGTAGGAAAAGGGAAAGGCTATCTACTCCAGTATTCTGACCTGAGTCCATGGGGTAGCAAAGAGTTGGATGCAACTAAGTTACCTCCACTTTTACTTTCATAGTTGGAGAGCCACTGATCCAAGACAACATTCTGAAGTTTTCAGGAGTCTTTTTTTGAGTCAGGATAATTTTGGAAGAATTTAATAGTAGAAAAGCTTCCTTATGTCTCCATGTAGTATTTGAATTAGTTGTAGTACTCAAAACTTCCAAGATAACTTTAAAAATGTATAGAATCAATGACTTCTCCTTGGAAAATTAGGAAAATTTAAATTTTTAAAATTACTGAGACTGGAAAGTCATGTTTCTTAGGAACACTTTGATGCTAATTGCTCACTTAGCTGAGTATAGCTGAAAGGATGTATATTCCCCAGGAGTTAGATGTACCTTCCCCACCAGATTTCTGGTTGTTAAAAGCTTTGATGTCAATCATTATTTTCACTTACAAAAAAATCATACAATATCAGGAGAGAACTAACTCCATTAGTGTTTTCTCTTAAGTAGTATTCAATTAAGACAGTGGAAAGATTTTTTTTAATTTGCAAGAGCATCTTTCTTGGGTTAAGAAATAAGATTAAATATATCTAGGAAAAGTGAAGTGCTCATATTTTATAGTGCATGTAGAATATAGCTTAAAAGGATAAAAACATATTTGTGAGACATAAGATATATATATGTGACTGCTGCTCTTGAACCAGGTGAGTCTCCCAGGAAAAATCAGCTACCCACTGAGAACAAGAAACAAGGACCTCCTTTATCACTTTCCCTAAGCAGGAGTTTTCTAAGGATGACCACAGAGGAAAATACAGGAAGGGGTAGGCTTCAGGCAGCAGGCACATAGTGGTCAGTTAAGTGAGGCAGGTCAGTAACTGCTTGTTACCTGAACTTCGTTAAGTCTTGGGACTGTTCTGGCAAGTTGCCCTGGGACTTTTCAGCTCTCCTCAGTAATGTCAGAGCTACTCCTCCCTATAAATGTGAATTGAGGGCAAGAGGGGCCATGAAGACTATAGAGAAAGGGATAGTAAAAAGTTGAGAGTTGCAGGAAGTATGTTTTCCTGCTTAAGCCTTCCCATGATTTTCCCTTTCCATGTTGTTTATGAGATTACTACCCCCAGGTGAATGAGATAAAAGGTATGATTCAGTTTATCGTTATTATCATTTTACTTTTCTCTGTTGTCTTTTCTGGAATGTGCATGACATTTCCAAGCTATTTTTTTTTAAAAAAAAAGGATGTAAAAGTATATGTGGGGCTTCCCAGCTGGCTCAGTGGTAAAGAATCCACCTGTAATGCAGGGGACAGATGAGATGTGGGTTCAATCCCTGGGTTGAGAATATCCCTTGGAGAAGGAAATGGCAACTCACTCCAGTATTCTTGCCTCAAAAATTCCATGGACAGAGAAGCCTGGCAGGCTAATCCATGGGCTTGCAAAAGGTTGGACACGACTTAGTGACCAAAGGACAACAAAAATATATGTAGTGTAGTAATGTATAATATGTATATGCTTCATGTGATTTTCATTGCTTTGGAGAACATGCTGACTTCCTCTCCCTAAAATAATTTCAGGAGCAGACATGATAAGCATACATAATGAAGAAGAAAATGCTTTTATACTGGATACTTTGAAAAATCAATGGAAAGACCCAGCTGATATCTTATTAGGCATGTTTTTTGACACAGATGGTAAGTGATATTTACACTTACGTTCTTAATGTTAGTAATAACTTTTAGCTGCTTCATTTCCCTAGTTCAAGTTGATACATCCTGCAGCTTCAGGCGCTGTATTTTCAGGATGCACTCGTGTTCACAGCTTTTCACTGAACGGCTCAGTGTGTCCCACATGAGAGCTAAAGTTGAGTCTTTCATCTGGATTAAAATATGATTCTAGACTCAGTATTTTTGTCATATGGTAGCGTAATAAATATTGGTAGTAGTATCAACAATAGAAAACTATCAAGGTAATATTATAGAAATGTAGAAATGTGTTTATTGTCACTATTGAAAATAAAAAGTACATATATAACTATTTTCAAAATCAAATGCAATTACTAAGGTTACCATTAATATTTTACCAATTATTTCTCCATGAAAATTATATATGTTTAATAAAAAAATGGGATCTTCTTTAGAACCTTCTTGAACTAGTATCTCTTATCTGTGTATAGGATATATTCTTCCTTCTAATTTAAGTCCCACAATCAAAAGTTTAGATCAGACATACCTTAGTAACTTCCCACCTTTAAATCTAGACCCAAGAAATTCCACTCTTTCAATGCTGAGGGCCTGGGTTCAGTCCCCTGGTCAGGGAATGGAGATCCCACAAGCCATAATCAAAAATAAAGCTAGACCCTTTTAACACATTTTATACTGTCATAATGTTAAAATATTCCTTAACTGACAGATGCCAGTTTCAAGTGGTTTGATAAATCAAATATGACATTTGTTAAATGGTCAGACCAAGAAGATGGCGAAGAGCTAGTTGACACCTGTGCCTTTTTGCACACCAAGACAGGTGATTGGAAAAAAGGAAATTGTGAAGTTTCTTCTGTGGAAGGAACCCTTTGTAAAGCAGCTAGTAAGTATAACTGAAGGCCTTTTTCCATTCTAAGAAGGGTCGGGAAGGCAGGGCTGGTTTTTAAATAACTTTCTTTGAGTTGTGTGCCTCAATAAATAAGAGGAAGTAAGATTTCAGAAGACGATTAGGTTGGTTTGTACCCAAGACTCTTGGAAGGCAAATATGTAATCCTATTACATTAGAAGTAGGACCAGATCATGTGAATCAGGCATACTTTTATTCTCTCTGCTTATTCTTAGAGCTAGTAAGAAGTCAAAATTTTCTTATGCTGTTCAAAGGAATTATCATAGCTTCTTCGATGTGATTTGATTAAAAAGTGGAAGTGGTGAAGAATAATGGTTAATTCCAAAATTCTAGTTAGTTTACAAAGAATTTGATTCAGTACAAGGACATCCTTGATTAGGCAAAGATAAATTATACCATAGTTTATAATTCTGGACTAAAATATAAGTTTTCTTCTTATGCATCACAATGCTTTCTAATGAACAGAATTATCCTGTCCCACAATATTTTCATATTATTGTTAAACATTAGATTTGTTCTTTTATGTTTTAGAAAGAATTATTTTCTCATTAAAGGCATTTAAATTTCAAAACATGATTTTAGGATGCTTGAAGCAAGACAGAAACAGCCATTTCCCCACGTTGCATCCTTAATATTGCATCCTTAACATTCCCCCCTTCTACTGGAACTGCAAACCAAAACTATACATCTGCCTCTGATTACTTCCTTTCTTTACATCTGGAATCACATACAATTTTAACTTGCCTCAGCAGGTATTTTGACTAATCAGTCACACTTTTATGGTTATAGTATTCAACTTCCAGTGTTTGTTGGATTTTTAAAATGTTGGTAATCTTTTCACATACTGTGCCTCAGGTCAGTTCAGTTCAGTCGCTCAGCTGTGTCCAACTCTTTGAGACGCCATGAACCGCAGCATGCCAGGCCTCCCTGTCCATCACCAACTCCAGGAGTCCAACCAAACCCATGTCCATTGAGTCGGTGATGCCATACAACCATCTCATCCTCTGTCGTCCCCTTCTCCTCCCACCCTCAATCTTTCCCAGCATCAGGGTCTTTTCCAATGAGTCAGCTCTTCGCATGAGGTGGCCAAAGTATTGGAGTTTCAGCTTCAGCATCAGTCCTTCCAATGAACACCCAGGACTGATCTCCTTTAGGAGGGACTCGTTGGGTCTCCTTGCAGTCCAAGGGACTCTCACGAGTCTTCTCCAACACCACAATTCAAAAGCATCAATTCTTCACATATCTTAGTTTTCTGAATGTTGAGCTTTAAGCCAACTTTTTCACTCTTCTCTTTCACTTTCATCAAGAGGCTCTTTAGTTCTTCTTCACTTTCTGCCCTAAGAGTGGTGTCATCTGCATATCTGAGGTTATTGATATTTCTCCCAGTAATCTTGATTCCAGCTTGTGCTTCATCCAGCCCAGCATTTCATTATATAAGCTAAAGTTTTAAATAAACTCTAACTTCAAAACATCATAGTGAGCAAACCTGTATGAGGTGAGGTCACAGTTGTCTTTACTTTTATCTTTTTCCACTTTTTGAGCTAATGAATTTTTAGTCCTCTACAATCTTTTTTTGTTTGTTTGTTTGTTTCTTAGAGTCATACACTTTTATTTCTAAGAAGCATTTTGAGATTTAGAAGGCATTAGCTTATGATACATTTTACTGGAAAATACAGTATAAAAGCTATGTGTGTAACACACAGATTGTGCTCATGTCAGATTTCTAAAACAAATATTTTTCCTAACTTTTAAGATTATTTCCTAAGTTTCAGAGGTTAACTTTGTTTCAAAGCAATTAGTCAAACTTAATTTCCAAAGTTTATGAGAAACAGTGTAGATTGTAAGAGGTTTAAAATGAAGTTCTTCATATAATTTAAGGTAACAAGACTTTTGTTGACTTGCAGACTCATCTCAAAAGGAATGGAAGACTTAACAAAACTGCAGAACCAAGGACATTATCATAGATCTGACCTTAAAGAACTTACTTATAAAACAATAATCCCAGTTCCCACTAATTACTACAGGATCTAAAATGAAATATCCTCAAACCATTAATTCTGGTTAGCATATTTATCTATGACACAGTATTTGTTCTATTTTATGCATATGGTTTGGAAATGTGACAGGTTACTAACAGTTTTAATCTACAATTGCTTTGAGATTTTTGAAATCCATAGAATAGCTAATGTTACCTGCTCTAAAAACCCTAGTACTTAAAATCATCATAACTTTCTGCATGCCACACTGACACACACCTAAGGCCAACTGAAAGAGGGAAACAATGTACTTGTTAGATCAAGAACCACAATATCATGATGCACACGGTAACGTGGGCTACGCAATGGCAACGACGTCTCATGAAGCAGCACCCGCTCATCGTAAGGCATTATGAAAGGTTAACCTCACTGAAACATGGGTTTAGTTAGAAGTGAATGTGATCAGCTGCCAACATTTCAAATGGTTATGAATCTCACTTCACTCTCCAAGGAGTCATGTACATTTTCCGGAAGGCGAACAGGCCCTCCTTGTGCGACTGGTAGACTACACAGACAGATGACCCCAAATGCCTACAGTTACAATGTGCTCTAATGTACAGAACAATCGGAATTCTTCCCAAAAGGACTTGCACACTCAAGAGTAAACTATTTTGCACACAAAAAGCTTACCGCAAACAGGACAGTGGCTCAAAGGCCATTTCTCTAAATATATTTCCCATACAAAATAATTTCAAGATATAATAATTATTAGTTCCTTGTACAGTACTCTATTTAAACAAGAATTAATCAAATAGTAAGTATGTGAAAACTGCAACACCACAAAGATTGAGCCATATTACTAGTGTAATCAAACAATAGGAACAATCTTGGAACAGGCAAGCAAAATATTCAGAAGGCTAGGTCATGGTCACACACCTACTGATTTCAACCATGACTTGTATTGTACACGGGGAGACGGCACAGATACCTTATGCAGATGGTTCAGTAGCAGAATGGCACTTGGTTTGCTCTTAATAGAAACAACATAAATGCAACTGACAATTTAAAAACAGACAATGGCCTTATTTGCATGCTGAAAATCTGGCTGTGTCCCTCGAGTCCACACGCCTTTCACTGTGCAATCTGTCGATGAGTAAACACATAGTGTAGGATTCACTCAGTGGGATAGAGGCCCCTGGTCTAACCGAAATCAATTCTTGGGCGATACTGCAATACCATGGGGTATGAGTTTTCACCTCTTAGTCGCCATCGTGTCATGTAGATGAACTCCATAGTGTGATCCTTCCCCATAATTTCACCATTGCACAGCACATCCAACTCATAAGAACTTGGAAGTTTTAGTTTTAAACTTAGAAATTTTTTAATAGTTCCCACAGTTACACGTGTAGAACACCGAATGAATTTCTTCATTAAACCCTTTACTACATTGTCCCGATTGTCCATTATTTCGTAAACAATCTAGACATATAGCAATTTGTGGGTCACTTCTGTGATAGTCTTTATCATCTTGATTTTCATCACCTTCTTCATCTACCTTAGGCTTGTCAACTTTTGAAGTATCATCTTGTCCATTTTCTTGAGGCTTATTTTTCTTCCAAAATTCAGATTCACGCTTAAGTTCTTGTTCTCGTAGTCCAGGAACCAACTTAAATATAATTTCCTGTAGTGTGTTATCCAACCTCAACATTTCTAATGGGTTTGTCTCATGAACCTGGTTGCCACACCTTGGACAATCATTGCTATCTTCAAAGTGCTGGACAATACAAGTCTTGCAGAAGGTATGAAGGCATTCCGTCACTGTAGTTGGCTTGATGAGATACCCTTTACAGATATAGCAGGTGATGTAAGGATTGAAATCTTTCACCAAATGTTTCCTTTGGGTAGCCATTCGTGGTTAGCTAGGACTGGCTCTAGTAGTTCAGGCAAAAAAGGGTATTAAGTGGATGAAAGTCTGATCCCAGGAGCTGGTGTGGAGTTCCCAACTGGGTGTCCCGAGGCATGAGAACTAACATCCAGACTTCTCATGAGATCGCTGGTCATCACTCCTTTTGGTGGTTCGGCTTTCCCATATCCCGCGGCCGCCGCCTCCGCTCCTTGCCTCCAGCGCGCCGGCCTCAGAGGGAAGTAAAGTCTACAATCTTTTTTTTAAAAAAAACTAAGTTCAAAACAGATAATACAGACACATGACCAAACAATATACAGAATATTAATTCTAAGCTAGTAAAAGGTTTGTTTTAAACTACTTTGAGAGTATTTAAAAATCAATCTTAGAATAAGGCATATTTAAATTAATGATGATTTCCTTTTGTATTCCAGTCCCATATGAAAAGAAATATTTATCAGGTAAGTATGGTCTTTTGTTAAATTTTCCCCACATGTAAGAATACATTAAGATTCTAGCATATTAAAGTACTGAATAGTATTAAAGACCTCTTTAAATATTAACTACATAACAATGTAAAGTAGAACTTTTATAGGAAGGTAGAAAGTTCTCTTAGCTTCATAATAAGACTTTTTAAATGTATCTGCAAGGTATGTATGAACGTTTTTTAAAACAACAAATAACATCTCTTCATTGAACTCCATTATCTGTTTTTGTGGGAAATGACTGAATCTTTTGTTAAAAAATTTTTTTCTTATAGTTCTAATTACAACTTATGAAGCATCTGTCTCACTAAATGCATTTTTGGGAAAGGAACAGTTAACATACTTACATGGTTCAAAAAGCACAACTATAAAACGCAAATTGAAAAATCTGTCTCCCACTTTGTCTCCATCCATCCTGTTTTACCTGTACCCTTATTGGGCACTATTTCAGTTTTGTCTTTAAATGTCCAGTGTTTGCCAATACAAACAAATTAAGATATATGACTTTTCTATTTACTAACATGGTCTAGCTCTCTCCCCATATCATTACCTATAGATAAATCTTCATTTAACCACTGTATACTTTTTCATTTATGGATATTTATCAGCTCCAGACCCCTACTGGGTTATTTCTGTATGTTTGCTATTCTAACAGTGCTGCAAGGAATGAATAACCTTGCACAAACATGTTTATCTTTGATTTCCTGAAATATAACCACTGTATTGAACATGTATAACCTTGATCAAAACTGATGGTGTTTCAGAGAAATTGTACCATTTTGTGTCCCCCCCCAAACAATGTATGAAATTTTTGGATGTCTGCAAATTGCATAGTTTTTAACCTCCATATTTTTGAAGTATAAACATAGGGCAAAATGTTTAAATGTACACCTTAATGCTCACTTATGTTTATACCTGTGTAACCAACACTCAAAGAACACTTTCGTCACACCACAGAATTCCCTGGTGACCCTCCCAATAAATGTACACGCTACCGCCATCCACCCCACAGGTAGCCACAATGGATTCCTATCACATAGGGTAATTTGTTCTTGGGAACTTCACGTAAATTAACTCGATTTCTTTCAGCCAGAGTATTATTTTTGACTCATCAGTGTTGCACAGTATTTTAGAGACATACCATAATTGGTCTATTCTGTTTGTTGATATTTGATCATTATTAGTCTGTTATGAATGTGCCAGTGCTATGAACATTCTCATACTTTTTTTTTTTTTTTGACCGATGCTCTTGTTTTCCTTGAGAGTGAAATTGCAGGGCCATAGGGTAGCTAATAAGGTCCAGCATTCTTAGAACTAATCAAATTTTTCAGAGTGGTTGAACCATGTTACATTCCTGCTGACAGTGTATTCAAGTTCCATTTGCTCTACATCCACCCCATGAGGGCTTTATCAACCTATTAATATCTAGTTTTAGCCACACATATGGGTGTATAGTGTTAATTTTCCTGATGAAAAATGATGTTGAGCACTTTTACACATTAGCCATTCAGTTATCTTTTTTTTTCCCCCCCAAAATGCCTATTCAAATCTTTTGTACTTACTGTTCCCTTAGTATCATGAACACTTTCTGTCAGTTTGGGGCTTGCTATGACAGAAGAGAGGAGTGTTTATGGGTTCAGGAGAATGTAGGAAAAGTTAACATTCTTACTCTTCTATAAGAGGAATATATATTTTAAAAAATCTAACAAAACATCACATTCATTAATTTGGCTATCAAAAAACAAAACTAAGAAAAAAAACAGAAAATAACATTTCCACAAGAATACGGGTCCTTTGTGTACTGAGAATGTAAACTGGTTATCTGCTGTGAAACAGAACAAAAGCTTCCCATTAAATTATCATATGATCCAGCAATCCATTTCTGTTATGTCCCCAGAAGATGTGATAGCAGGGACTTGAACAGATATTTAAACAACCATGTTTATAGCAGCATTAATCTCAGTAGCCAGGAAATGTGGAACCAAGTGTTCATCAACAGATCTGAGTAAGCAAAACATGGTATGGAATACTATTCAGGCTTAAAAAGGCAACTCTACAACATGTATGAACCTGGAGGAGCTAAGTGAAATAAGGCCAGTCACAAAAGGACACTGTATAACTCTAATTATATTAAATACCCAGAGTAGTCAACTTCAGAGACAGAAGGTAGAACGGCAGTTGCCAAGGGCTAGGGAGAGTGGGGAATGGGGAGTTAATGTTTTGGTTTGCAAGATGAAGTTCTGTGGATGCATGGTGGTGGACATAGCACAACATTGTGAATGTACTTAATGCTACTGAACTGTACACTTCAAAATGGTTAAGATGGTAAATTTTGTTTTGCATACTTTACCACAACTTTTAAAAAGTTTTAAATCAAAGAGGAGTGTAAGCATGTTATTTAGAAACATGGAGGCAAGTAACAGGAGTAGTTGCTTTGAGGAATGGTAATTAAGGGTAATAATAGGGAGGAGTAGTATGGTATTTTCATTACATACCCTGTAGAAATACGAATTTTAAACTATATACATATATAGTCTGGAGAACATAAAAGGATATATGCAAATTGAAACACACAGGGAAACTTAAGTGTGGATAATTTCTATCTCAGAGTCTTAAAAGTAGAGTGGAGACCTGCAAAGTCTACTTCACATTTTGAAGTATAGAAGTTATTCAAGCTAAGAAATATAAATCTTGATAGTAATAAACATTGTTTTTCTAACCAATGTGAAAAATTCTCAAAAATAGGTAAATATTTAAATGATGAAACTATATTTATGCTCCCCCCAAATCAATACTAGCAACTTGTATATCCTGATTTCCCATATTTTTTCTTTTTCAGATAACCGCATTTTAATATCAGCTTTGGTGATTGCTAGCACAGTAATTCTGACAGTTTTGGGAGCAGTTGTTTGGTTCTTGTACAAAAGAAGTTTGGATTCTGGTTTCACCACAGTTTTTTCAACAGCACACCAATCACCTTATAATGATGACTGTGTTTTAGTAGTTGCAGAGGAAAACGAATATGATATTCAGTTTAACTAAGATTTTGGAAATGTCAGATTAAGACATCAAATACCTTTCCTCTGCAAGATTTCAATATAAAACCTGACAATGAAAATTAATTTTTATGATATGCTATTTTATTCCAGTAACATTCATTACTTTTATGCAATCACTGATCATGACAAAATTTATCTTTAGGATCATTATAAAAACAAAAGGAGTAACAACCTTGGATATAATTTAATGGTTTTAATCACCTCCCAAGTGCATCTTTCGGAGAAGGTAATGGCACCCCACTCCAGTACTCTTGCCTGGAAAAACCCATGGAGGAGACTGGTAGGCTGCAGTCCATTGGGTCACTACCAGTGGGACATGACTGAGCAACTTCACTTTCACTTTCACACATTGGAGAAGGAAATGGCAACCCACTCCAGTGTTCTTGCCTTGAGAATCCCAGGGACGGGGGAGCTGCCTATGGGGTCACACAGGGTCGGACACAACTGAAGTGACTTAGCAAGTGCATCTTTCACTTGACTTTCTAAGGAAAGCAGGTAAAAATAAAAATCCAGTATACTTGTCTTACCTCCTCTATCTTCCTCCCACTGAGTTGAACCACCTTAGTTGAAAAAAAATTCTACTTACCACTAGTTTTAGCAGTCACTAGATCTTTAGCAATTTCTATTGTCTCGCTCCTTTACCAATAAGATATGGAGAATACACCTACCCTTAAAAGATTCTCATTTAGCTATCACTTATGCTGGTTATTGGTTAATTCCTTTAATATATCTATCTCCCTTTAGGATTTAAATGTATTAGATGCAGAAAATTTTACAGATTTTAACATCCCATATGCCATATAATTATATAATTTTAATACTTTTTAGAATACTGTTTTGGACCACAGCATTAACATTATTTAGCACTGATCATAAATGGTCAGGATCTCAGTAAGATTTTGTGAAGCAAAAATTACAGCCATACCATACCAGGAAGGTGTGGAGGAGGCTGACATATGGGTAATGTATAGAGCCTTTTAAGGATTTTTCTCCTGCTGCCATATCCTACCATATCTGTTCCTATGTATCTCATGCTCCCCAAGCCTCAATGAAGTATTTCAATGACATGAAAACTGTGTAAGCAATAACTAAACTGAAGAACTACATACTACTGTAGTGATGATGTTTGAGTTTCCAGTATGTATACTGTACATTTTAAGACAGAATCATTTGGTGGTAAAAAATGAAAATGCAGTAAAACTGAAACAAGAATGCTTTCTTTAGCAACTTTTATAACTTAACATTATGAGAAAAGATAAGGTATGTACTTAACAAAATTGTATTTACTATATGAAGAAACTTGAAAGTGCAAGAAAGTAAATTCTCCTTAATGCATATCCCATCAATCATTTTATGGGAATACTTTTCATATGTAGAGACACTCTCTCAAGCTTGACCAGTGGCAACAAAGTCATAGCTTGTGACACCTATTTCCACTGGCCACCATGAAGCAGAATCATTCCTCATCACAATTAATGGCAGTTTTTTTTAAACAAGATGTGAATAACTACAAAGTGATGATAAGGTATTTGACTGTCATACTAGAGAACAGATTTTATACTAGGTGTTACTACACAATTATGTTTTGTAAGGTTGAGATTTTGTGTTATTGACTGAGATGTCTATTTTATTGAGTATTAACAGGGCTATTAATCATGAACATTAGACTGGAATTCCTTCCTGCGTTTCTAACTAAAATTCTACCAATCCTTTAAGAATTAAGACTAACTTTTTGTTCTTAAAACTTTCTATCACAAATCTTTACAATATGTATTTCAGTAGCCATCGGCCACATGTGGCAATTTAAAGTTCACTTCCTCAATTAACACTAGCCATATTTCAAATGCTCAGATCACATGTAGTTAGTAGCTACCATATTTGGCAATATTTCCATTATGATAGAAAGTTTCACTGAAAAATGATGTTCCAGTCTCCCATTCCATTTCTATATAACTAATAATTTCTTCAGTTCATTTCAATAACTTCTACCTAATGACAGCTCTACCTAAATGGCTGTTTCAACTGATTTAATTTTCCATGTTGAATTTCATTTTCAAAAAAATCCTTAAAGGGCTGGGTAATGCAGTGCTAAATCTTAATTTCCTTTATATATTTGAACATCTGTAACAGGCCTTTGTGTCCATTCATTGTTCAATAGATAACTGGATAATTCAAGTCTGTATTTATTTTTAATAACAGGAATAACATAAGCATGCCTGTTTACACTAAGAATGTATAAACTGCTTTTCTTCAAACATCTTAATTCTATCTAATAATGACAATGTAATTCTTAGCTTTGGTAGCTGTTGTTACCATCGTTTCTTTTAGCTACCATTTACTTTTAACATTTTATTAGAAATTTGTATTCTTAAATTCTTAGGAATTTGAATATTGTATGGTCTCTATTTTGTTCAGAATCTAAAAAATGATAACCAATGAAAGATTTTTCTTATTCCCTCTAATTCACATTTACAGGTTATTAGAAGCTTATATAATATTGAAATACTAAGTAGTACTAACGAACTATAAGGATACTATAAAGCTCAAGTCACTGGAGTCAGAGTCGGACATGATTGAAGTGACTCAGCAGCAGCAGCAAGACACTGTGTATCTCATTTAGCAGTTAATTTAGCAAAACTATAAATAAACTGTATGCATACCAATGGAATGTATTCTACCATTTACTTAAAATTTTTAAATAAAAAAATTTGTAGGTTAAGAAGACATTACATTTTCATACTGAGTTCTATTAAAAGCATAAATGTTTTGAATTCAAAGCAAAGACCTGTAGTATAGATACTGATACTGGCATCCTTAAATTTCGCATACCTGCTTTAAGGAAGGTAATGCAAAGATAACAGGCAGAAGTTGAGCAAATGTTTTAGAAACAGTTATTTTCATATAAAATGGAATTTGAAACTGTAAGATTCTTGGCTATGACATTTGAAGGCTTCTTTGAGCACCAGTTTAAAAGGAAACATTTCAAACTATAAAGTAAATCAGTATGCACTTTATTTCAAGCCAAAGTTTTACATTAAGACCAACAGTCTGACTGAAAATGAGCAAACTGTTGATTCACATTTGGGAAATTACATAGTTTCTATTTAGATTCTGAAAAAGTAGTCTGACAGACTTTATTTAACCTGAAACCACCTGAAGGCATTTAAAAGTGTATCTTAAGGGTGCTGATGAAGAAAATATACAGTGTTATGGATGTATACACAACTCAGGACCACAGTGTAAATCTAGTCATGGTGAATAGGTAAATGTTCATCTCTTCTCTAAAGGTAGTGAAAAATATTAAGTCATCAAATAAATGTTTATAATTACCAAGGAACAGTTAAAAACAGCCAGGATCCAAACAGGTTATTTATATCATATTTATCTATAAAGAAGTGACAACACTAAAAAACACATTGAAAACCAGTGTTTTAAACTCTAAATGTGGGCCTTAAAAGTATCTCATTAACTTGAGATTGCAATAATTTTTTTTAAACCAAACAGCATTTGGCTAGCAATTCTGATGTAATTTACAGCTGCAATATTCCGAAGAGGAATATCTACATACTACATACTATGGTCTATCAAATATAATCTGCATTTTCCAAATCAATACAAAAATTTATCCATCATTTGTACACTTTATTTTCAATATACTTTTTTAGAAAATTAATTTTACTGCTAAGTGAATTTAGAATTCAAATTAAATTTGGAAACCTAATATAATGCTCTTAACTTTCTCCCCATTTTTTTTAAACACTGGAAGCAAATGATTATAAAACTGAGACTGCAACTTAAGGCATTTAAAAATAAAAATAATTAGGTGCCATCTGGCAATTTATTTTGAAAGCCTATTTTGTCCCACTTTTACCACTAACAAGAGACCAAAACACCAACCTTTCTTCATAAATATAACTACACTAATCAGAACACAAAAGGGGTTGTCAACATTGCTTATTTAAAACAAGGGTAACACTTTCCCCACTCATTAAAAGAAAAATACTTTTACTTTTAATTACCAGTTTATAAACATTAGATTCACTGGCCATGTTAAAGGTCCAGCAGAATTTTAATTCAGTAACACCTGAGAATGAACATATATATACATGCATGTGTATATATGAATATATATATATTCATTCTATAGAGATAATATATTCAACAGACATCTCCCCACAAAATTAACTCATACTTAATTGCCAGTTTTAATAACACTTGTTCACAGATCATCCATTTGTCTTATACGAAGTTAGGCAATATCAAATGTTCTGTTATGGTCTCCATCTTCTTCTGAATCATCTTCTGAAGCTGTTGAAAGAAAACAGGATGATCAAGAATGATTTTAAGGGGGATGAGAATGGAAGTGTAAGTATGAAGCCAGAACAGCAATGATTTATAAAGCAAAAATCCCAATTTATTATATACTGTTTGGTCAAAATGATAAATTATGATGACTGCATGAAGGTAGTTTATAGGTGACGCCAAGCCACAAGGCCCCCACCCCCACAACTTTTTGTTATGTTAGTTTTTATTAAAATGAAAATGTTTTAAAATGTGGTTCAAGAACATCTAAAAAGTTCCTGAGATCAGTTTGTGTCTGTAACAGCTAATGATACAAAGAGTATCTTAGACAAAGAGTAAACTTTAGGCAAGTGCTCTCACACACCTGAGGAGAATCTGGCTTATTACCGCTGCATGTTTGATGTATCCGATGAGAATGAAAAAAAAAATGTACATAGAAATAGAATAATAGGTTATGGGTGTTCTTGCAATTTACACCAGAGCTATGTCTATACAATGCCAAGAAAGTTCTATTTAGTCAAAAAAGCTTTATATAGATACAGCCTAAGTTAAAATAATTGGATTTAGTAGAAACCTTTTGTTGAGAGTATTTCTATGTCTCCGTGTTGTCAAAGACTCATCACTCTTGCAACAGTTCTGACCTCAATTTATTTTAGAGTCATTAGTAGCTCAAGAGTTTAATAGAAAACATTCTTGAATGTCTTAGGACATAGTAAGTGTAAGACTGTATAAACTGCATGTGAAAGAAAATGGAAATACAC